GCTCTAGCTCTACAAGGGTTGCAACCCACCTATCCAACAATTCTTGTTATTATGATCACTAGGCACACAATCTATTAGATCACTACTCACTAAGAGCTCTCACAATTGCTACACTAAAGAGCTACACTAGATGACCTTAATCTATAAAGCAAGCTCTCAATTCTAGCTACACTAAAGAGCTTGCTATAGCTAGTTTACGGTAATGTAAATGAGTAAGTGAGGTAATTATACCACCGCGTAGAGGAGTGAACCAATCACAAGATGAATACTTATCAATCACCGAGAGAATACCAAAGGGCAAGAAACAACCAATTTTTTCCCAAGGTTCACGTGCTTACCAACACGCTACGTCCCCGTTGTGTCGACCAACACTTGGTGGTTCGGCGGCTAAGATGTGTTGCACAAACCTCATCCACACAATTGGAGACCGCAAGAACCTACCCACAAGTGAGGTAACTCAATGACACAAGCAATCCATTAGAGTTACCTTTCGGTACTCCGTCGGGGAAGGCACAAGTCCCCTCACAATCACTGGAGATGGCCACGAACAATCACCAACTCGTGCCAATCCTTCTTCACTGCACCAAGCCGTCTAGGTGGTGGCAACCACCAAGAGCAACAAGTGAATCCCGTAGTGAAACACAAACACCAAGTGCCTCTAGATGCAATCACTCAAGCAATGCATTTGGATTCTCTCCCAATCTCACAAAGATGATGAATCAATGATGGAGATGATTGGGAGGGCTTTGACTAAGCTCATAAGGTTGCTATGTCAATGCAAATGGCCAAGAGGGTGAGTTAGAGCTCGCAATGTGGCTTAAATAGAAGCCCCTACGAAATAGAGCCATTGTACCCCTTCACTGGGCACTGCTCGGGGTGACCGGACGCTCCGGTCAGATCAACCGGACGCAGGACTCCAGCGTCCGGTCGCGTGATGCCCACCACGTGTCCCCTGCTTCAAATGCTAATCGCCCGATCTCAACGGTCATCAGTACATTTAAGTTGTGACCGGACGCGTTGCTCGAAGTGACCGAACGCACCAATACCAGCGTCCGGTCGTTTCCAGTAAGGTTCTATTCGCGAAAATTCACGACCGGACTCACCCAGCGTCCGGTCACTTAACGTCTCCTCTATGCGCCGCCATATCAGCACGACCGGACGCTGAACAGTGTTCAGCCAGAGTCCGGTCGCCTGCATCCGGTCAAGAGACCGAGGGCTGCCTTCACTGCACGCCACTGACCGGACGTAGACCCCAGCGTCCGGTCACTACGTGACCAGCGTTCGGTGCACATTGTGAAACCCTGTCTTCTCTGTACAGGGTGCCGGTGAAGTTTTGAACCCTTGCTCAAATGTGCCAACCACCAAGTGTATCACCTTGTGCACATGTGTTAGCATATTTTCACAAATGTTTTTAAGGGTGTTAGCACTCCACTAGATCCTAAATGCATATGCAATGAGTTAGAGCATCTAGTGACGCTTTGATAACCGCATTTTGATACGAGTTTCACCCCTCTTAATAGTACGGCTATCGATGCTAAATGTGATCACACTCTCTAAGTGTCTCGATCACTAAAATAAAAAGCTCCTATCAATTTCACTTTTACCTTGAGCTTTTTGTTTTCTTTCTTCTATTCCAAGTCCAAGCATGTGATCAACACCATGGCATCACCATCATCATGTCATGACCTTCATTTGATTCATCACTTGGAGTAGTGCTACCTATCTCATAATCACTTTGATAAACTAGGTTAGCACTAAGGGTTTCATCAATCCATCAAAACCAAACTAGAGCTTTTAGGGATGCCCTCACCTTGGCAGGAAGGAGGTTGGAGGCGGTGACCTCACCCTGGCATGGTGGAGGCCAGAAGTGGCACCCTCAACCCAGCGCGGAGGAGACCAGCAGGGTTGCCCTCACCTCGGCACGAACGAAGCCAGAGGCGGCACCCTCATCACCCCAGCACGGATGAGTCTAGAAGAGCCGCCCTCAAGCCAGCGCGGATGTGTCCGATGAGTTTGGGAGCTCTCTAGAAGACATCGGACGACGGCCAACAACTGATCCGATGTGCATCGGAAGATAACGTGCAAAGAAGAACGTTGGGCTCCAACGGTAACTTTCAAATGGCTAGGGACACATGTCATTCACCTATGGCATCGGACACTGGCGAACTTTGTCCGATGGTGGCACTGTTGTGTCCGATGCCCACGTGACCTGCCCAATGAAGGGGCAACAACTAGTGGCTCAAGTTGGGGGCTATAAATATGTGTTGATCGGTCTTGGCTGACCTCTCTTGGCACTCTGAGATATTGATACACCTTGTGAGCATAACCAAGCCTCTACCACTCATCTCTTTCATGTGTTGATCCCAAGTGAGTTGGGAGTGATTTCTAGTGCATTTGCATTGAGTTGAGGCATCTAGTGGCACTAGTGATCGGATTCGCTAAGGGATTTTTTTGTTACTCTTGGTGGTTGCCACCACCTTAATGGCTTGGAGCAGCGGAGGACCGTTGAGTGGCTTTGGTGATTGTTGCCAGTTCTGATCGAGTTCTTGTGAGGGGTTCTTGACCTTAATCCTAGCGGGAGATTCACAAAAAGGTACTCTAGTGGAATCATGGTTAGTGTTGCTAACCTTGCTTGATTGTGTGAATCAACTTAGAGATCTTAGCAACTAGTTTGTGTAGGAGGCTTGCTTGGAGTGAAATAGAGTTAGAGCAATAGTTTGCATAAGTGACATCTTATTGTCTAATAAATTGCTCTAGTGCTTTGAAGGAAAAAAATTAGGCTATTCACCCCCTCTAGCCATTTAGATTCTATCAGCGAGGAGCGCCCGTGGACGAAGATAAGAGATAGAATAGATAGATACTCCCTCCATTCCAAATTATAAGTCATTCCAACTTTATTGGAGAGTCAAAGCATCTTAAATTTGACCAAAATTATAAAGAGATTTATAAAGATTTATGACATCAAATAGGTGTACTATGAAAATATAATTAATGAAGGATCTAATGATACTTATTTGGGATCATAAATGTTATTATTTATTATATAAATTCGGTCAAATTTGAGATATTTTCATTCTCAGAAAAGTTTGAATGACTTATAATTATAGATGGATGGAGTAGATAGAAGATCTAAACCAATGTCATTGGAAGGTTGCAGTAGGAAGAATCAGTAAGTTGTCAACAACAAAGGTGAATGATTTATTGATTTATTTGTTTATCAGTTAGGTTAGCGTCTTGACGTCTCGAAAGGACGCTCACGTCCGGACGCCCATGCCGCAACCGCAGCCACCCACGCGTATGCATGTTGTTGCGCCTGCTTTATGTGGGGGCCGCGCCGCTCCGTTTCCCACGTCTACGTACGCCCACGTGGGGCCGCGTCTCGATCTATGCCTGCTTCGTTTCCTACCCCTATCACTCGCGCCCCCTCCGCTCCCACACGCATGCACGCGGGGCCAGCAGACTGCAGCAGGCGTTCTGCGGCAGGTGGGCCCCAATACAAGATGTGCAACACCAGATCTCCTGTTGTAATACCTAGATGCAATACTTGCAATATACGTTCGAAACCCGTTGAAACATTTGTAACATATGTCTGAAAATACCAGGAAAACACGTGTGTAGCTATTGCAAAACATATGCAATGTCTAGATGAAACACTTGTAACATATGCATGAAACACTTGAAACACTTGAACATACGCTTGTAACATGCATGCATATACAACATCTAGATCTATTTTTGCAACATGCAGATAAAATACTTACAACATACGTCTCAAAACAGATGAAACATTTAGAATATACACTTGAAACACTATTGCAACATATGAAACGTCCCGATTGACTTTTGCAACATCGATATAAAACACCTACAACATAGCAATGAAACATTTGAATCATTTGAAACAGACTCTTGCAACATGCAGTTTTAGCGCAACATCTACTTGTTGTTTTTTTAAACTTATCTCCTTACTGCTTGGGAGAATGGAGGCTCGTCGACGTGTGGAGCTCACCGACATAGAGCTCACTGGTGGCGCGAGAGATCATTGTTCGATGGAGAAGGCCGCTCCGGTGGAGAAGGCCGCGGCAGGTCCGGTGGAGAATGCTGCGGCGGGTCTTCACACTCTGCGGGTGGAGCACGAGTTATGCGTGGGCGAGTTACATCCCAGCTGTTGCGAGCTACGCGTGGGCGAGATCCCCCAAGGCCACAACAAACTGGGCAAGCAGAGCGCGAGATGTCCGCAGGCGAGCTCCGCTCGAGCTGCTATGAGCTACGCTGTGGCGAAGCTCCACCCACGCCACGGCGAGCTAGGCAACATCGGCGGGTGGAGCGTCATGAGTTGTGTGTCTTTGAGCTTGAAGCTATTATATTTTTTTGAGAAATTAGAGAGTTGGACGAGCGGATAGGAGAGGATCGTTGTGTTGCTGGACGAGCGGATAGGAGAGGATCGTTTGAGCTTGTACCACGGCCATGAACTTGTAGCATGTTCGCTTGCTCGTAAACGATCGTAAATTTCCAGCCGGGAACAGTGTTTTTCTCTCACACCAAACCAGCCAGCAGTAAATAATCCACGATACGATACGGCCTCCCGAACAGGCTGTTGAGCGTCCGGGTGCACAAACGCCCGGATGAAAAATCAATAGCATTTGAATTTGAATTATTTTTCCAACCACTTGACCTCTGACCGGCCTCGATCTGGCCCGTTCAAACTTGACCGAACGGCAGGCATTAGCCGATGGCGCCTCCTCCTCCTTACCGGAGCCGCCTCGCCGGCGGGTGGCGACGCTGCCGCCGCTTCAAACTGTCACACGGCTTCTGACACCACGTGCTGCACCTACCCTACCCAGTACCCACACTCCACTGCAGTCCACCCACCGGGACCTCTAAACCCAAGCTTGATCTCGTGCGCTCCTCTCCCTTCCCCTCTTCCTCAGTTCCTCTCCTAGGGTTAGCAAGCTTGATCCCGTGCGCCTGCTTGGGTGGCTGACCGCACAGGCGCCGAGATGGTAGCCGCTGCTGCGGCGGTGCGGCCGGTGTCCCTCCGCCGCCTCGGCGCTCTCCTCCGCGCTCCTGTGCCCTGCGGCCTGACCACCTCCCGCGTCGCCGCACCCTTCCCCTGTCGCATAGGTACTGAGTGGCTCTTCTCTTTTGATGTTCCTCTGAAACGCTCATATGCTTCAAATTTCGATATGGGATCGGCAGTTGCTCCAACGCTATTTTGGTTGTGGTACTCAGCAAACTGTACATGGCATCTTCTAGCTTATGAGCGAGTATTCAAAATGATTGGTTGGAGCTAGGCAAAATTCCGTGACATAAGACTCAACCTCCAAAATTCTATCATATATAGTGATAAAAAAGGTTATTAATTGTGATGTTGGTTCATTTCTAGCTTTTCGCACGCTGTATTTTGGTGTGTGCGGAGCCACAGACAATGCTAACATGGTTTATCATGACATTTAGAGCTTGTTTGGCTGCACACCAATCCACCCCAATCCCTCCCAACCCATGTGGATTGGGTTGGATTGATGTGCAGCCAAATAATCTCTTAGGGCCTGTTTGGATCCCATGAATTGAAACCAATTTCTAGAAAATGCTCCCCATCATTATTAGATTACTTTCCAATTCCTCTTAATTCCTGGGAACCAAACATGGCTTTAGAGTAATCTAGGGGCAGGGCTTTAAAGGCCACTGGTTTCCTGGTTATTTTTACACTGTCAGGTTGCTAGGCTTTCCAATTGGTGAGTATAAATGAGGCCTGGGAAGCTCATTTGGTCCAAGAACATGCCAGTTTTCTCAGTTTTTTTTTCAGCATGTTGTGTGCATACTCCCTATTTTTCTGAGTGATAGCTAGTAGTAGTAGCTGCTGCTGCTGTGAAGTGTACTTGTGGATTGAGATAGAAACTACACAATTACATGAACTCTACACTGCAGGTTAAAGAAGATGTTGTTCAAAGTGAACTTGAACCCCTAGCCAGTTATCAAATGGAGATGCGCTTGTCACAGCATCATTTGTGAAAAAAACTTGAAGAAACAAGAGTTCAAACAACAGACTTGTTAATTGCCATCCATTTATGTTCCTCAGCCACAAATCTCAACTGACCTTTCTCCTCAATCAAGGGAGCTACCATACTGGCAGTAGCAGCTGGAACTATTTGGCAAGTTCTAGACACACAGCTGGCAAGACCAACTAGCAGAGCACTTCTTCCTCATTCATCAGTTTGTGAAACAGTGGCATTCTTTAAAATTAATTTAATAAAAGCATTCACAACCTTGTCCATCAAGCTGGTGCATTGTGCAAGCCTGGTACCTAGCTGCTGCAGTGAAGAAATGGCATGGCTAGGTTGCCACTGGCTGGCAAGGCCTATGTGTTGTGTGAATCCTCCTAGCTGCCACAAAGCAACTATCAACAAGTAAACCTAACTAGTCATTACAAACCCTAGTTCTGCAGCATGGAGGATGTGGGCAAAGTACATCTGATTAAGGAGAATGCTATTAGAAGAGGTAGATATTGAAGACGTCACCTGGACTGGATTTGGTAAAAGGGATTTTTTTTTATAAACATAAAAAAGAAATTCGATTTCGGCTTCCAAACAAGAGCTACAAGCATTTTTTTTCACTCACCAGGTCATTGAGTTGGCTAACAAGTTTCCCTAAACAGTTATTCTTTTTTCTGCTCTACAAGTTCCACACAAAATACAATCCAAACTCCAAGTTTTTGGTTGATATTTTTTGTTTGTGCAAAAAGGTGGTTTGTCACCAATTTTCTTGCTTAGGATCTTCATAAATCATTATTACCTGTAAAGGGGACAGGTTCCAAGACAATGGATTTGCCACTGCCTGACAAGATCTGTCTATTTTCCCTTTTAATTAAAAACTGGCATATTCTTGGGACAAGATAACCATAGCTAACTTCTTGAGTTTGTGCAGCCTGTTATAATTCATAATTGCGATTTGGTAAAGTATACCTGTTATTGTTAGCAAACGTTGAAAAAAAGTTTCTTTAGGAAGTCAGGGGCATCTTTTTCTTTTGTTTGAAGAAAAAGGTTCCAATCGTTTAGCCCCTCCAAAGAAATAGATGGCTTCAATGTCTGCTATGTAACTGGCAAAGTTATCTAAACAGAATTTGGTTGTTAGTAAAACCAGTCTAACAAAATGTCATTCTTTGTCAGCAGATTCCATGAAGATTTCTCAACTCCAATTAACAGCTACACGATTTTCAAAAGAGAATAATTCTGACGAGGATGACGAGCTCCTTTCTGAACTCAGAGATAAGGTTACTTACGAAGTTATATACCTATATGCTAATAGTCTTAGACTCTTAGTACAAAAACTTACCATGATGCCTACTACAGTGGGATGCAATGGAGAATAAGTCCTCTCTTGCCTTGTATGGTGCTGGAGCAATCCTCACTGTCTGGATATCCTTGGTTGTAGTCAAATCTCTCGACTCTGTCCCATTGGTATAGAGCTAGCTTATCTTGCTATTTCCACTTACTTGTGTTTGTTTGTTCTCTAAGACCATGATGGTATTCATATTGTCATTTACTTATTTTATTATTTTTTTGTTCCCCTGCCATGATTTGTAGCTCCCAGGCTTACTGGAGTTAGTGGGGCTCAGTTACTCTGGATGGTTTGTGTACCGATACCTGCTTTTTCAGGTAATCTTAAAAGTTAAAACCATGTAGGTTGGCTGTGAGACTTCTTTTCCACTATTCAACACGAGTTTCTCAAGTTCAAGTCGTCCCTTTGCTTTGCACACCTAAAAGGCTGTTGGCAGAACCGTGGAAGATGCGCAGCTTGATATTAAGAGCTTGCACAGATCAAGTTGTCCACTGTCAATGCCTGACAAGCCTAGCAGATACTCAAACAGCTGGCTAGTGTGCTTTGTCAAAGTTAGATGCAGTGTCCTTTGCATTTTGTTTAATCTGAAGGAAATTCACAGAGCATTTAAAATGCAAATAATTTACGTTGAATATGCCCTGGCGCAATGATATGTAACACAGAGAAATACTGATTTTGTACATTTAGAAGAGAATATCCAGGTTTTGGTTCTGACTTTTTTTTTCTGGCAGGAAAATCGGAAAGAATTGACCGAGCTTATCGATGATATAAAGAGAAGGATTATTGGCAATGATGATTAGCTGTTTCCTGGTTTGTAATTCAATTTCTCTGATGGAACATTGTAGGCCTCTATTCTTAAATTAATGCCAGTCGATTTAGAAACGTCCTGGAATTATTCAGAGCTATGAGGTATGGCCTTCCACACCTCCTGTGCCGTCTGCAGTTGAGCATGTTATTTGCTGAATCTTCTTATTCAGCATGGTCTAGAAAAAATCTTGTATTCTCTCCGTATATTCAGCTTCTGAGGTATGGTCTTCCACACCAAGATGTACCTGCAGTTTAGCATGGTCTAGAAAAATTCTTGTATTCTCCATGTATGCTGCTGTGGTTCCTCTCACAAATTCCTTGTGCTTTCCTAGCCAAAAATTAGCCGTCAGAACATACAATTATCTGAAACAAAACCTGATGCACTTTCTTCCGCACTTGGTCAAGGATGATGCACCTTATATTGCTATATATCGAGTCATTATCAATTTATTACCAGCACGGTATGTACAGCTTCTTTGCTTTCCATGTTGCTCTGAGTTTGCCGGCTGGCTGTTGAGTGTTGACACTGGACACCAACCAGCTCGAGCTGCATGCTCGAATTATCGCACGAATCAATGCTGTAATGATACTGTATGATATGTATGGTGGCGCGCACCGGCTGATCCCGTATCTTTGCCGTACGAACGCTGTCAAAGACGTGCCACATCTGGATTTGCATCCATCACTCTCCGGATTGCTTCGGCGAGATGCCATCCCTTTGTGCGCCCGAGATGGAACCAGCGTGATGTGTCAAAGGCTCGACGCGATCGTGCTTGGCTGCTTGCCCCTGCTAGCGAGTCCGCACAGCGAGATGTCACCCGTGACGGCGACCTCTGCGATGCCGATGCACTGCTGGCTGGTGGATGGTGGGCTGCTGCAACTTGCCAGCGGGAAGCGCGTTGTTTCTTTGACAAAAACTTGTACGGCGCCATCCTTTTTACTATTCTATTATTATCAGAGACGATTTCGTTTTCCGTTTATTTGGGAGCGTCTAAATTGGGAGGCTGTCTGTTTTCCGATGTCCAAATTCAGGCTTCCCGTCAACCCTGGCAACCGAAAACATAATTGTACTTTTAAAAGAAAAAAAAAGGATTGCTATCTGCATGATCTCCGGCCTTTTCCTTTGAAATAGAAAGAAGGGTTATATATATACAATAAGTAGTTGGAACAACTTTTCCTGTGCAGCACCATGTGCAGGTGCAGCTGATCCAGCTGTGCATGTTGCTCAAGTGCTGAGATGCCCCGTCGGATCAGGAACTAATAATCACTTGATAACCCGATGAATCACAAGCCTTTTCTGCGGATCGTGCCGATCGTGCCCGGTGCTTTTAGCAAAACATACTATGTTCGTTCGTTTAAGTTTATTCGGAACTACTTTTAGTTATAAAATAATGTTTTTTTTTCATAATATTTCAACATAAGCATCAGCATAAATGAATAGGGTGAGAGTACTACAATACTATACTATGTTTCCACTTCCTAAACAGGACATTTCCTTGGGAAGAAAAATGACCGATCGTTCGCAACAAGGCCGGACCCACATGTCATACCCACGGGCTCGACTTTTTGCCAACTCGCGGAGCCCGAGGGAGAGGTTCGCATGGGGATACTCGCACCGACCACGTACACCGAGCCCACCACACCGGATCATCTTTCCCGCTCCTAATGACATAAGGGTCCCACTAGCGCGCCGCGCCCGCGTGTCAGAGGCACTCGCAGCCCACCCATGCCTTGCGCGAGGGGTGTCGGTGTGGGCTCCCCGCAGTCTCCGTGGCGCCGCGCCATTGGCTCGCTGACCGTAGCCTCGCGCTCGCGTCCCGCTATAAAAGGTCCCCACGCTGCTTCGCCCTGTCCCCCGACCACAACCGTTCCGCCGCGCACAGGAGCCAGCCCCGCGCCAGGAGGTTAGGGTTCCCGATTTACCCAGCTTCTTTTATTTTTTTATTAGAGAAATTAATCTTGCGTGCTGTCAAGAGTGCTGCTGTCCTGCTTGATCTAGTTGCGTGTTGCATGGTTCGTGGTACGGGAGATGCGGGAGCGGTGCGAGTTTCCTCCGCCCTTTTTGTTCTTCCGATTTTTTTTTCCGGGTGGTGGTCTGCGACGCATCTAGATCTGCTTTGTCTCAGGGTGCCGCTCTGTGGCTTTCTTCGAGCTCGATCCGCGAGATCTGAGGCTTCGAGCGCACGGGGCGCGTAGATCCGCCTGATTTGGGAGTAGTTTGGTGCGAGGACTGACTGCTGAGCACCTTTTGGGTTTCCGTTCCCCTTTTGGGGCTAGCAACCGTGCCTGTTATCTGTTGGAGGCTTTGGAGCGGGGACACGGATGGTTGAATGTGGAATTACTGGAGTGAAGTAGCGTGTTCAGATATTGGCCCTGTTTGGTACAGCTTATCAGAGAAGTGCTTCCCAGATAAGCTGCACAAATAGAGTAAAAGCGGCGGTTAAAATAAGCTGTTCTGATCCAGCTTATGCTTTAGTACAAATGGGAGCTGTGGCAATAAGCGTACCCATAATAAGCTGCTGAAAAGCATGGCGTTTGACTGTTATTTCAGCTTATTTTGGCCATAAGCAGCTTATAAGCTGTACCAAACAGGCCCATTGGATCCGGATGTACGCGTGCCTTCACGGTTTGTGTATTAAAGGGTAGTTCGTTCTCTTGCTGCTAGGCGTTGGATGTGATTTCTCGATTTGTGTACTGTTAGGTGTGTTGGATTTTGGGTCATGTTTCACCTGTTTAAGGATTTATGGTTGGGTAACCTGTTGATCTGGGGTTTTGAATGATGATGAGTTGCTGTTGAATTAAATAAGATAACCTTGTCAAGGATAGATCCGGTTGGTCCTTTTCAGTGATCTGCTAGGCAGTAGTTTAAATAGGTTAGTTCTATCTGATTTCTTAATTTGATGGATTTGGGGATCACAACAGAATGAACAGATCATATTAGCTGCATTGTGTGGGGTCTGCTGTTTCAATTTTTGAACCTGAACGTGGGTGCTGTAAGCTAGTGTTCGATTAGATGGTGCTTCTTGTTGTGGCTGTATTACTGTTTCAATCAGGTTTTTATGACCCTTTCGTATTTCTCAGAAATGTTGTTAATAAGCTTGTTCTTAGCAAACATGAAGGGGCTTAATGGCTTAAGTTGAGTTTAGTGGCCAGCCATTACCTTTCCCATATAATCATTTTAGTTGACATTTTGTACCTTTTTTAGGCAATGGCTTATCAGTTCCCTTTTGTTGCAGTAAGTTTGTTCTTTTATCAACATGTCGAGGGAGGAGAATGTTTACATGGCCAAGCTGGCTGAGCAGGCCGAAAGGTACGAGGAGATGGTTGAGTATATGGAGAAGGTGGCCAAGACTGTAGATGTTGAAGAGCTCACTGTTGAGGAGCGTAACCTCCTGTCTGTCGCATACAAGAATGTCATTGGGGCTCGCCGTGCTTCATGGCGCATTGTCTCTTCCATTGAACAGAAGGAGGAGTCCCGTAAGAACGAAGAGCATGTGAACCTTATCAAGGAATACCGTGGGAAGATTGAGGCTGAACTGAGCAACATCTGTGATGGCATCCTGAAGCTGCTTGACTCCCACCTAGTTCCTTCTTCTACTGCTGCCGAATCAAAGGTCTTCTACCTCAAGATGAAGGGTGACTATCACAGGTTGGGAAGGGTGCAATGCAATATTACGATGTGCAATCATATCTGTATAAGCTGAAGAAACCAATCAGATTTCTTAACCTTCCTGTTCTTCTTAACTATGGCAGGTATCTTGCGGAATTTAAGACTGGTGCTGAGAGGAAGGAATCTGCTGAGAGCACAATGGTAGCCTACAAGGCTGCTCAGGTTTGTTCATTTTTTCTGCTCTGATAATATGACAACTGTCAATATTCATATCATATAGGATGACAAGTTCATTTCTTTGAATGCTTACTGTTAGTCTTTACACTGTTTTCTTATGAAATTTTATTCTGCTATGTATTGTGTAGGACATTGCTCTGGCTGAGCTGGCACCTACCCATCCGATAAGGCTTGGGCTTGCTCTTAACTTCTCAGTGTTCTATTACGAGATTCTGAACTCCCCAGACAAAGCTTGCAACCTTGCAAAGCAGGTTGGAATCACATCTACTTTTCTACTACATACATTCATTTTATAGTGTGTTTATTAGGGTGAGGGTTGTTTGCGCATTTGAGCTTGGGCAGAAAAAGAATATCTAGTGCCTTTTAACTGTAAATTACAGGATCCTTGCCCTAAATTGTTCAGTATATCAGGAGCTTTTATTGCTTCTCATACGAACTTTTGCCCTTGTAGGTTCACATTGCTATTTGACTACTAGATATCTTGATCCCTGTGTATGAGATCAGATAGTTTCTGATTAGTAATTCTACCTCTGATATGATGATGGTTTATGATTAGTAATGCTACCACTGATATGATGAGCTGCTGATTCTCCATGTTTGCACATATCTATACAGGCTTGCTTCTAGTAGTTTTGTGCCATTCTGCCCTGTTATTACTAGACTCTTGCTTGTTCTTAAGAACCTCCTTAAAAGGATTATTCATGTTCTATTGGATTGTGGTGATACTTGTAAATCTGGCACCTACATTATCAAGGCGATAATGATGCCATGTGTTTTACGGTTTGAGTATCTAAAATTAATTTGTGGTAACTGGGAGGCATTTGAGTTGGTTGCCTTATCATTTAACTTTTATATTGTACCTTAGTCCTTATGCCATTATAACTTTGATAATTGATAATGATTGGGTAATCTTTGCAGGCGTTTGATGAAGCTATCTCTGAGTTAGACACCCTTGGGGAGGAGTCATACAAAGATAGCACTCTGATCATGCAGCTCCTAAGGGACAACTTGACCCTTTGGACCTCTGACCTCACGGTATTTTCTTCTCCCAAAATAAACCTAACCTTTATTCTGTTGCCTGTCTACTCTTCTTATCCGGTGCTAAAAATTTGTATCTGGTATGTGCAGGAGGATGGTGCTGATGAG